AAATCTATCTACCCATGAAATATATTGACAATTATTATTATAATTCTATATTTTTAACCCATCATTAATGTTAAATGTTTATTGTTAGATGCATAAACTTATTATATAGTGTATTTTCAATTCAGATTTATTTGTAAAGTGCTTCTCAAAATTAAAATAAATAATCATTTCAAACCAATGTGTTAAAAATTATCATGTTAAACAAATTTGATAAATATCTTAGTTAACAAGTTACCATCAATATCCCTAAGAAAATAATTATACTAATAAAAAAGTAGTTTTGTAAAATATTTCTTATTTTTTCTCATATTTTCCAGATCCCCTAACACCTCCCTGCAACCTCCTGGGGGTCCTCAGTCTGCATTTTGAAGATTCCTCAATTAAACAACTGCATCAACCTACTGACCACATAAGCAACAACACAGCTACCAACAACACTGTCTTCAGACATTTTATATTTAGTCAGAACCAGAATCGTATGTGTAACAGAATAGTTGTGAGGGTGTTGCATATGCCTTAATTCACAGTACTAGCAGCTCATACCATAGGTATGCATCTATTCACAGTGGACTGAGGAGATCTATATTTAGCAGGAGCTCAATCTAGCCACAACAACATACGACAACTGCCTTCTGCTACTGCCATTGCTGGCACAGAACGAGGCCTAAGAGCAATAGGTTCCGTTAAGTACCGAGGTCTCCGTCGCCCCACGGCACATCTAGCCATTGATACGAATACGCCATAGCCTGTAAATGAAAGGACGGCTGTCATCTTGAGGCGCAAAAAAGCAGCCGTCTTCTCTTTTTAGCTTAGTTGAGCGAAGATGAGTTACTGCCACTGAGATTCCACACTGACATGTGGAACTGTGCTTCAGCCAATTACAATGATACTAGATGCTAATATCATTTAATGATGCAATTTTGTATTTTCTTTGGCATTATGCCATATAAAAATGAATTAGTTAAAATTACTTCAATAGTGACAATTTAGGTCAGAGAAACCGGCACTGCTCAGTATGAATGCTGGCTGTTTAACAGCAAAAAGTCTTTATTGAGACTGTGAAAGCTTTCATGAATATTTCAGATCCTGTTCTGTTCATGTGACTACAGCTGGGCTCCATGGAGACTATAGGACCACTTGTAACTTCCTTGCTTAGCCTAAGCAGGAAAGTTACAAGTCAAAGACAGTACTATTCAAATATTCTCTGGCACACTGCAATGATATAAAGGAATCCCTCCTCTATGCATTATAGGGTAAAAAAACCAAGTCTAAAGCATAATGCAGAAGGAGTCCAAACACAACACATAATAGCCTATACTGTGTTTACTTGAACTCTCATTGGCCTTGCTAAGAGGGTTCAAATTCTGCCAACTAGAAATAACTAAACTTAGCTGTGTGCAGCAATAAAATCAGATCGATTTTTACCTTAAGAACCTATCAGACTATCACACACTCTAGTTTTTACCTCAACTAATAACTACTAGGCCATGTACACAACATGTTAAACACATTACATAGTGCATGCTACTATTTTTATGTTCCTATACTTACTGCTACTGTTGCATAGTCTGCAAATAGCTAGACAGTTTTGTATTTGGGTTGTGGGGAATACAGGAAAACACAAACCAGGCTTTGAAACAAAATGTTCTTTTTTTCCTGCTCTACTGAGAATGATGCTTGCAGGTGTGCATGCTTCTGCCTGACACTGTGGAAATCATGTAGTTAATATCCATCCTTAGTCCATTCTTCTTTTTTTTTTATTCAATTTTCCTATTTTCTAATCATGAAAACATATTATTTATGTATAAGCTAAATATAAAACAACGATATTAACCATAATATTACGAATATCATATTATTTTTTTTATATTATTTATCTAATATTACTTCAAATGTTATTTGTCGTTTTACATAAAAGGTCCGCCCTTATACAAATGCATTACTGCAAGGTGACAGCAGGGCGCAATATAAAGGCACATTTATTTACACGTGTCGATAACTCACCTTGACTAATCAAAATACCCCAGCGCGATTTCTTTTTCTCAGAAAAATCGTCGACGTCCTCTCGCTTTCTTTTCTTAGGAGTATTTTCTGAGTACTCGGGTTCTCCGCAGGGAACTTCAGGCATGTTTGCATCAGCTCTGTGTCATCCTCTCCGGGGTAGAGCGAATGTGACTAGCGCCCCTTTTTGATTGGCTGCTCGGCTTGTTGTTGTTTCAGATCTCAGTAGAGTCGCGTTGGCTAACTTATGAATATTAATAAGGTCACATTGACGTTGCTGACCTATACTTGACGTTGCTTGCTACATTATTTAGGAGCTTCTGGTCACGTAACGTAATTAATATTCATAAGCCGAGCCTTTGCCATAGTAGGAAAGATAAACGCCCACTTACTGCCTACTTAACGCCTACTGCGCGCACGCCACGCAACGTACTTTATATTCATGAGATCAAATATTCACCATAATACCAAGTCCGTGTCAGTAATACTATTTATAGCTCAGGTTAAGATTAGAACGCTGCCACTATTATTCCGACGCAAGTAGCTAGTAATAGAATCAGGATTCTAAATGGCCTTTTCACTTAACATTTATTAAAAATAGATGTAGGCCTATTGTAGAATTTGTTACTTTTGCGTCCTTTTGCGTCATATAGCCTAACATTTCCGTTTGTCTGTTGCTTTGTCTGTTGTTGTCAGAAGCCAAGCAGGTAGCGGATAATAACTGATAATGCAAGCAGTCATCTCAGTAACTTGTTTAGCTTTTCACATCAGGTACATTTTCACGTTATTAGGTCTTAGTAAGGAATAATATAGGGCAAAAAAGACCAAAAGGAGTGAGAATCATACAGAGAGACGATCATTTCCACAGACAAAATCACTACATTTTTCTTTAGACTTCAGAGTGTCAAATTACAGATTAATTAATAAATATGACGGATGCATTACTATACAATTTTAAGTTCAAAACGTTTAAATTGCTATTGCTTTTTCAACATTGTATTCAGTCAACACAGTCATTTCAAAATTCTGTGAGAAAATAATTTTCCTTAACTCGGTATTAGGTAAGAACACGCTGACCCAATTTTCTCAGTGTTACAAACTGGGCCATGCTGCAGAAGCTTTCTCTTTCACACCCTATACAATCAGTTAAAGTTTTACGTACCTTACAAAGAGACATAAAGACCCTATAGTGTCTCAGAACATGCTCCAATATATATAGCCTCAATATGTCCCATTCTTGCGTACTTACTGTGCCCTTGGCCAAAATCATAGAACTCAGCTGCGATCCGGGCCGCCTCATTACGGTTTCCTTTAACCACATAGAAGTGGGTCAGTATGTTTAAACTGATCTTGAGAAATAATTTGAAGCAAAAAAGGGCAAAAATCGAGAGATAGACGTTGGTATACTGTGAGCCGAAAGGCCGCTCCTCCAAAATCTCAGTCATTGCTGCTGCTCAGTGACAGTAAATGTTTTGGAATGGGATCCAGGGATGTGTTGTTGGGGATCATATGCCAGGCCGGCCCAGTTATTCCCCAAGGCAGCTGGGCCCAGAGAAGAGATGAGATAAGGCAGCTGTACTTATAACTAGTGGAAAATGGGCCACTTGACTGAGGCATAACAATAGGTGTTGTCATTTGTTGGGATGTTTGTCTCATGATACATAGTGACAGCTTTGTTTTCATTACGCTATTTGTATTGTAACATAGTTGCTATAGAGCAATGTCTTCAGATTACTGTATTTTTGTTTATGTAACAAATGCCCTGATTAATCCAATAACAGAAGAGTCACCAGGATGAAGCATTTGGTTGATCATCTGAGCTTTATCATATTTTGACAAGTATTAATACAGTGATTTTACGAAAAATTATTTTACAAGCATTTCATTTTGCTTTTATATTTTTTAAGGTTCTGTGAAATGTTCATAGGAGATATTAATATTTCCAAGCACAACTGCACTAATAAACATTATAATAGATTAATCAGCTTCTCATAAAAGCCTATTATGGACAAATGTAAATAATTTGATTTATCTTGTACAAATTTTTATTATTTGGGGGAAATTCCACATACACAAATAGTCAGGGTTCTTTCCTGTAGGATACTTTTTTAAAGTAATAAAGAGTTTTAGATTACTCAGTGGTTATTATGTGGTGTATATTTTTATATTGCATATATATATATATATATATATATATATATATATTTGTATACCGTTGTGCACAATTTTTTTCTTTCAATTGCAAATAAACATAAGACAGGGAACATCCAACAACATAAGGCACATCCACTATAAATAATTCAAATAATCAACATAAATAATAATTATTATACTCACAACAATAACAACAACAATGAGGGGAAAAGAAAAAAAACACAACACAACACAAGGAGTAGGAATCAATAGATGTACAAAAAGTATTTTGAGATAGGAGATAGGATTTTGAGAGAGGTAAAGAGTTGCAGACTCTCTATTTAGATTTTTAAAGTGCTTAAAGCTCTGAAACATTTTCACAAACTCACAAAGCAGTATATTAAATGATGGCTTACATTTTCCCATTTGCATGTTCGAATATGAGATTTACCAAACAATAAAACAAAGTTGACAACATCTGAAAAAAGAGAATTGAAATCACACTTAAAAAAAGAAGTTATCTTGCAAAACAAATGAAGGAATTGTTTCCATTTTTACCGAATAACCAACTATGAATATCAAACCAGAATTTAGAAGCAACCTCACAGTAAAAGAATAGGTGATCAAGTGTTTCAGGAAAAGGAGGACAAAAACCACACGAGTCCACCTCAAAAAATCATAATTATTTTCCTGTATAAAATCGCTAACAGGGTAAATCCTAAACAAAATTCTGTGATCTTTAGTCTCCTTAACTTTGGAGCAACTGGGTGTGTAAGATAAAAGATTACTACCGTTGTTTGACTGTTCATGCAATTCTACTTCCTGACCACTGGATGTCACTATGTACTTTCCAAAATGAAACAGGAAGTCAGTCTTGCTTCCGAATCATCTTTTAACTGCCTCACTTCCTGCTCTGAACCTCCGCTCGGAGCTTTTCAATATATCTTTGTTTTGCATTACATTGTTTTAGTTTGATCAGAACTAGATTGAATCATGAATACAGTACTGTCGAGGGCGAACTCGCTCTTCGCCTTCTCTCTCAGTGTGATGGCAGCTCTCACTTTCGGATGCTTTATTACCACAGCCTTCAAAGACAGAAGCATACCGGTGGATATACACGTATCCAAAGTCATGATGTAAGTTACCTGCACCGTATCTGAGTCTGCGTCCACAGCATGGATATGAAATCAGTGTTAATCTCATCAACAAATATTTGATATACACACGAGGCACCACAGTCCATTCAGAGTCCTTTGTTTTTGCAGCATAAGCACTTGTAGATGCTGCTGACCTGGCGGCCAATAGCAGTGCAGCACATCAGCTATGCAAATAAAATTAATATGTAGTTTTATGGTTTTATTCAACAATATTGTGAAACGCTGGCTGTGTCTGAAACTGTAAAAGAGAGTGAACACTAGGCCTATATTGTTTTAGATTCCCTGTTAGCGTTTATTTTATTCATACTATTACTTTATTTACTTTAGTACATTTGAAATGTGCATGTAGGTTCATCTTGTCACACACATCTAAGCAGCAATGAGGCACTTTACTCGCCCTCTCATTCTTCTCATCCTTCTGTTTCCTTCTTTCTCCAGTAAAAATGTAGACGACTTCACCGGACCACGAGAGAGGAGTGACTTGGGCTTTGTGACATTTGACATTTCTGCTAATATCCTTTTGACAGAAAAGACTGCAGCGGTGTAGCTGCGGTGTAGATCATGTAGATGCAAAAATGAATTAATAAATAAAATAATGATGATTTAAAACCACTACTATGGTATAGGGCTGCACGATAAATCGAAATGGAATCGAGATCGCGATTCGACAGAAGCTGCGATTGTCATGCGTATCTTTCAGTGAAGCACGGTTCTGTGATCAGCAGTAAATCTCCATCCGAAGGCCAGAGGGATGTCATCTCAGGTCATCTCAGAAGGATTTATTTCAAACACTCGACTGACGTTATGAAGTGTGTTTGGAGTAAGAATATGTTATTAAATCTGGTATTTTCACATGCTTTCAGATGGAGCAGCATTTACTTCACAGAGCCGTAGTTCACTGAGGAGCTATGCAAACAGCTTTGCATAATCGCGAACGATTTCTTCGATTTCAGAATCGTGGAATAAAATCGTCCGCGATTCAGTGAACTACGGCTATGTGTAGTAAATGCTGCTCCATCTGAAAGCACATGATGATGATTTCCTGCTGATTACAGAACCGGCATTACTATCAAAATGCGCATGACAATCGCATTGATTAATCGTGCAGCCCTACTATGGTATAGTTTCTATAGAAGCCTGTTTCTGCTAGGGCTGTTGCGATAACCGCAATATCGCAATACCGCGCTATTGACGAGCAAACCGCAGAGGAATGCAAGAACCACAGCAACCGCAATTTTTGCATGTTTTCTTTTTTCATAGGGTTATGCCCTTCTCGTTTTACACTTCGTGCATGTGTACTGAATATTAAATAAGTTAGTAATGATAACATAATGTGTACCATGCTGATTTGTACTGCGGCTCCGTAGATTTGCACTTAACCAGCCTAAAATGACAACGAATGAGAGCGATCAACTGAGCATGTGCGATTACTTGAGTCATATATATTTGTGAAAATAGGTACTCATGTCCAAGGAAAGCCAAATCTCTTGGCATTGACGCATTGGTCAGCTGAGCCTTTTAACGGGGCGCTCAAAGTTTAAATGATTTCTACAGCGTTATTCATGTAGTCTCTCTTTGAATGAATCGGCGTTTTTGAACGTGTAGTTGAATGAACGGTTTAAAGACTCACTCAAAGACAGTCCCTTTCCACCACCTTGTGGCACAACAATGTAAATGCACTGACTGACAGCCCGTCCAGAAAAGTCTTTTGTCCATTCGGATTCGAGGATCAGAACAAACTGTTATACATATAGGCTAACAATAGCCTAACGGTCTTATTGTCAGGTTTATGTTCTGTTATGTGGATCGTTATTTTGTCATTCTCTTCTGTTTACTTCACTTCCTGTTTCAACGCTATTTGGTTTCGGTTTCTGAATATGACCTCGTTATATCGTAACACATACACACACAGGTTGTATATATATATATATATATATATGGAGATAATACAGCATACCGTGCTATTGAGCCACTCAAAATTACAGCAAGGGAAATTCCTTCACCGCGACAGCCCTAGTTTCTGCCGTGAGATTTAAAAAAAAAAGGGTAATTGTGACTCGCAATTCAGACTATTTTTATTATTTATTTATTTTGCAATTCAGAAAAGTCAGAATTGCAAATTGTAAATCAGAACTGCGAGAAAAACTCAGTTAGAATTCTGAGTTTAAATCCAGCCATGAAATATAAAATTGAAAAGGTAATTGTGACTTTTTATAATTTGTAATTCTGAGTTTTATATCTCAGAAATGCGAGGGAAAAGTCATAATTGTGAGATAGAATCTTGTAATTCTGAGAAGAAAAGTTGGAATTACCTTTTTTTAATTTTGTTTCTCATGGTGGAAAAAAGTTTCAGATTTGTAATTCTAATGTAAAAATGTCCTTTGTAATGTTTCTCTATTCACTGTTTTATGTTTAGCATCATGTAATTCCTGTGTAAATGCATTTATGCCACATCAGTGCACCATTCATCAGTCTTTGTAAGTGCACATTTTTGTGGTGTATACCACTTCAGATGTCAGTTTTGCAGTGCAGTTTACACCTAGAAATAGATTTACATTATTTGCCTTAACCACTTTTTAACATCTGCAGCCAATATTTGACTGGAATGTAAAAGAGCTCTTTCTTTACCTAACTGCTGAATATTCAACCAAAAGCAATGTAAGTCTTGACCACTTCAGTCTGTCCATAGATCAGTGGGTCTGGCAAATATAATTAACGGTTTTGTTAATGAAAACTTGTTGAGAGCTGAGTATGTGTTGTGGTGTAGATTGTAATATTTCAGACCTGTTTGTGATTTTCAAATCAGTAAAGAGTCTTTATCCCATATTAGGCACTGAACCAGGTGGTGCTATGGGACAAGATTGTCTTGAGAGGTGACAACACCAAACTAAATCTGAAGGATGTTAAATCCAAGTACTACTTCTTTGATGATGGGAATGGTCTAAGGTTAGTACCTTTTTCTTTCATAATTTTTTTTATAAACTTGTTTTCTGCCAAATTTGATGTGCAATTAATTTGTAATTAATCAATCATATATAATTAATCAAATTAATTAATATATATCAATATATTTACATTTGTAATACTCTGACAAAAATCTACACCCTATTTGAGCTGAATGTATATTGACAATGTGTCAACCTTGTTTGGACTATAGATATTTGACATGAAGAACTTAAAGGGTTAGTTCACCCAAAAATTCAAATTAGCCCATTATTTACTCACCCTCAAAGTACCCCAGGTGCAGGGGTGTGAAGTAACGAATTAGAAATACTCACGTTACAGTAATTAAGTCGTTTTTATCAATAATTGTACTTTTTTGAGTAGTTTAAAAATTGTGTACTTTTACTTGAGTACATTTTAAGTGATGTATCGGTTAGAGCCTGACCGATATATCGTTTTGCCGATATTATCGGCCAATATGAGCCTGTCGCCGAGATATCGGTATCGGCGAATATGCCGCCGATATGAGCATTTTTTTTACAGAACATATAATGCAGATAAAATGCTTGAAATGGTGTTTTTTGCTACTGGCGACCTGGATGAAACGCTTTAAAGCTTAAGTCTATGGAAAACCATTGAAACTTTGAACGGCCATATCTCCGTAACGGCGTCGCGAATCCGCACCAAATTCGGGGGATCTCTTCAGCTCAAGGAACCCTCTCGAATGAGAATCGAGTGTACGTCTCGAGGCCCTCTTTCGAATGAGACCACCCCTGCGTGGATAGCCCCCGGGGTTCGAGAGTTACAAGTGGTTAAATTCGCGGTCCAGCGCCGACCGATCTAGCGATCCCGGGGGGCTACCGACACGCGGAGGGTGGTGTTCGAGAGGGCTCCTCGAGCTGAAGGGATCCCCGAATTTGGTGGAGATCCGCCGGCGCGTTCGCGA